CCTTGTGCTGCCCAGACAGCTTCTCTTCTAGGGCGCAGGGACATGACAAGCTCCCTGGGGCTGCCAGAACCACTCTGACTCCTGGCCTCGCATCCTCAGTGGCTTCCGATCTAAACATCGGTAACGTGTCTCTGCTTGAATTTTTCACATCAGCTATCCATTTGTCCAGCGTGACCCCTAACGGGAGCCTTCGGGATGATCACAGCCTTATCATCGGGTGGAAGGGACCTCCCAACGTCACCACCATCAGGGAGGGGAGAAAACTCAGGATTTAGTACTCTTAAAGGGAAAACTCCAAGTGTCTTCTCCCCGACCACACCTTATGCCCTACTTATCTGTAATCTGAGACCAGATCAGGGCAAGGGAAAGGCAATAACTGTATTTCTCAACAATGAAAGTTCTCCGAGTGATCACTGTAAAGCAAGAAATGATAGTACAACTGCGTTAGAAGTCTTTATATCAAATCCATAGTATAAGCAAAAAGCAAGGCTGTCCCGTATTCAACAACAGCTTGTCCCACACTAACTGTAAAAGAGTGTGGACATTTTTTTTTAAGATTTTATTTATTTATTTGACAGAGAGAGAGAGAGAGAGAGAGAGAGAGAGAACAAGCAGGGGGAATGGCAGGCAGAGGCAGAGGGAGAAGCAGGCTCCCCGCAGAGCAGGGGGAGCCTGATGTGGGACTCGATCCCAGGACCCTGGGATCATAACCTGAGCCGAAGGCAGTTGCTTAACCAACTGAGCCACCCAGGCGCCCAGAATGTGGACATTTTTTAATGGGTATAGGTAGAGTACCCTGTACAAAATAGGAAGGTAGAAAGAGGTTTCAGATTCACGAAAGTTCTCCTTTTATGCTGCGCCTCCGAGTACTAATTTCTATGCTTCTTTGTATTGCTTAACCTTTGTAAATGTTACAATGTTATTTTGAAGCCAATAGCTACCTTAAGGTTAATAATAATACTAATACATATTATTATCACACATCCATAGGACACATCCACTTCACAGCAATACATAAAAAGTAAAATTTAATCCACCCTTCATAAGCAACAGATTTCCCAAAGACAAGAATAAAATCTTGAAGAACTTGAGGACCAAGCAATGTGACTAAACTATATACCCTGTTCTGAAATCCTTTTTCTGATATATCTTGCTCAGTCCCGTTTCCATGGCTCTCCCTCAGTCCAAGTCAGACACCAGCCCCATCCCACTCTGTCATAGGGTGGCAGTTACCAGCACAGTCTCTGGAGACCAACTGAGAGAGAACAAATCTTACCTCTGCCATGACTCGCTGTATGACTTTGGAGAACTTACTGAACTTCTCTGTGCCTACTTTCCTCATGTGCAAAGCAGTGATCATTATAATATGATCTATTTCATTCTTGTAGGAATCAAATGAGCTAATATTTAGAAAGTGCCTGGCTCACGGGAAATCCCATATGGCTAAAATTCTCCGCATCACGATCACCATGACCATGTTAACCCCATCACACTGTGTCAGAAGCAGCAAGCTCCAGAGGACAGGGATGTCCCGTATTTTTTTTTGCCACACTCCTACCACAAGCATATAACGGGTATCTGAATTTGGGCTGCCTTAATTATGTCCTAAAATTGGGGCTGCAAGTCCTCAGGTTGGCTATTCAGCCTTAAAACTTTTGGTCTTAAACAATCTTTAAAAAAAAAAAAAAAAAAGCCAAATATTTCTCTACATTCTCCTTAGAAATGAAGATTACAACTAACTGTTCCTGACCTGGCCTTCCAGGGATTCTCTCTCATTACATTGGACTTTCAAAAGAAAAGGTTTTGATGCTGGTGGACTGTGACAACAGTCAGTCTTAAGAGGAAGCTTCATTACTCATGAGTGCCCGATACGAGGAGGTGACTTACTGCAGGTTATTTCTTACCTTTAATTTAGACTAAGACATGTGTGAAAGGTAATAAATAGTCTGTGACAATGCTAAGAAAAACGTAAGGCAGAGGAAGTAAGAAAAGTTGAAGAATTCGTGCCCTTTTAACAAAGTAGCTCTAGTTAACCAACGTGGTAAATGAGAAAACAGGTTTCACCCGACCTCTACAATCCTTACGAGTCAAGACAGGACCTCCTTAACGCTGCGTGAATTAGGGACACCTGCGTGGCTCAGGGCACGATCTCAGGGTCCTAGGATCGAGCCCCACATGGGGCTCCCTGCTCTCACTCTGCTTCTCCCTCTGCCCCTCCCCACCTCGTGCTCACTTGCTGTCTCAAATAAATAAATAAATAAATAAATCTTAAAAAAACAAAAACAAAAACCCTGTATGAATTAGCTTCACTAGTGGCTGCCAAAGTCAGTATTTTTTCGTTAAGTAGAACATTTAGATTTTAGAAATCAGAAGGAATCTCACCAAATAATCACGACAAAGTTATCATGTAATGAAAAGTTTTAGGGGCACCTGGGTGGCTCAGTTGGTTAAGCATCTGCCTTCAGCTCAGGTCATGATCCCGGGGTCCTGCAATCGAGTCCCGCATCGGGCTCCTTGCTCTGTGGGGAGCCTGCTTCTCCCTCTCCTCCCCACTCATGCTCTCTCGCACTACCTCTGTCTCTCTCTCTCAAATAAATAAATAAAATCTAATAAAAAAATTAAAAAAGAAAAGAAAAGTTTTAAATGGAATTTTACCCTGTTATCACAGTTAATCTAGATGTTTCCTCGCAGACAAACCCGAGAACAGCTTCCAGGCAGGCAGCTGTTTAACTGTCCTGACTGCTCAATAGAAGGCCATGGGAGATGTCGCCTTCCTACACTCACATCACAAGACCTTCTCCTCGCGCATCCACTGGGCAGGCACCCAGACGACTTGGCCCTTCCTTCAAGGGAAGGAAACGGTGACAAGCAGAGGGAAGGAGCACAGCCAGGCCAGTGTCTGTGGGCACCTGCTGCGCCTGGGGCCCAGCCCAGACTGCCCGTGTTCACCCTTCAATGCCTCGGGAGTTAAGGATAGGCTCCGGCCTGGCAGTCAAGACCCTTCAAATGTCAGCCAAATCTTCGCCCTTGGAATCCTTTATCACCTCATTTTCCTATGCATATAAAAATTAGCTACTACACATGTCCCTTTTTCCAGTCTCTATACCTTTCCTTAAAGTGTGAGTGCTGACCTCCTTTCCCCTGCCTTGTTTTCATTATCAAAATCTCACCGAAATTTTGAAGTTGATTCCAAGTGTTACCTCCTCCTTCAATTTGGACTAACCTTCCTCAGAAGTAGATGCAGTACTGTTTCCATGTCCTGGGTGGCACTTGACAGTCTGTCCTCTTGTTCATGCTCTATTTAAGCCTGTCCCTGCCCACCCCCCCCCCCAGCCCACTGCAGGGAGGACTAGATTCCATTCACCTTTCATTAAGCTCATGAAAGTGAACTTGAGAAGAAACAGAGCTGGAGGGAGAGGAGCACGGTGCAGAGGGCAAGCCCCAGGCAGCGGTGGGCTGGGGCCAGTCTGGTTACGTCCACTCTGCTCCAAGTGGTGGTTGGCCATTTCTGTGGATGCCTAACCCACCTTTCCCTTGTTAGTTGGCAAAAGCAACAGTTCATAAATTTTTTCCTTTGTAAAACCGTTGACTTGAAAAAACCGAAATCTCCATTTAAATAAACATTCCACCCAAGCCAAAATGTTCATCTGTTCATGCCTGGGGAGCACAACAGTGAGCGTGGGGGTGTGTGTGGGTGTGTATGTGTGTGTCTGGTCGCGGGGAGAGAGGAAGAAGAAGAGAAAGGGATTTGAGAGGAAGGACTTTTCACTTCTTACTTTATGAGCTTTGGGACTGCTTGGATTTTTTTTCCCACTGAGCTAATGTTTGTAATTGTTTTAACCAATAAGAAATGTCTCAACAGCAAACCTCCACCTCTTAAAAAACAAAAATCCTACCCTTATCATCCTTGACCTACTCTTGCCCAACTCCTAGACTGCTGCCCTCCAGTTACACAGGATTTTTTAACAACCATTTCTGAATCACTTATAAACATTGTGATTCATGGTTATATTTATCTGACTTTTTAAAGGCTAGTCATTAAAACTACAGCAGCCCAAGCAGACTCTGCTGTCTAGCCTCATTAGGCTTCCGGTCGGTCCTTCCCTCACCCGGGAACACGTCAGATTTCCTGGAATGGTTTAAACTGGAGGTGTGCTTTGGTGGTGAGGCAAAGGGAAGGCCAGACTATAATGGGCGGGATTCAGCTGAGAGGAAGAGAGGAAGAACACAGGAAGGCAGCCAGTTATAAACTGTCATATGTTCACTGGTAACAACCGATCGGGGGCTGGTCAGGGGCCGAGGACATTAAAAAGAAACTTGCCTTGGCAAGTCAATACCTCAACATTTAAAAAAAAAAGACAAGAACAGGAGAGTGTATTCAAAATGTTCTGGGACCAGTCTCTACGAGAAAAGGAAAGACGGGGCGCCTGTGTGGCTCAATCAAGCGTCTGCCTTCCGCTCAGGTCATGGTCCCGGGGCCCCGGGATCGAGCCCCGCCTCGGGCTCCCTGCTCCGCGGGCAGCCTGCTTCTCCCGCTCCCCCTCCCCCTCCCCCTGCTTGTGGTCCCTCTCTCGCTGTCTCTCTCTCTGTCAAATAAATAAAAAAATCTAAAAATCTTTAAAAAAGAAAAAAGAAAAGACAAGAAATGGATAGATACTCTGAAACCAGGAAGAACATGCAAAAGAACTCCCTTTTCTAATTACTTACTTACGCAGTTATACAGCTATAAATATTTAGCCCATCATGCCTCTATGGACTGATTTCTGAAAAAAGAACTCATGAAAGTACAACAGGAAAGGTTTTTTTAAGTTAATATATTAAAAAAGAAAATTAAGCTATTACTTTTACTACAGTTTTTATGCCATCATCTGAAATATCTCATCAAAATTATAATTGATTTTAGGGCGCCTGGGTGGCTCAGTTGGTTAAGCGACTGCCTTCGGCTCAGGTCATGATCCTGGAGTCCCGGGATCGAGTCCCGCATCGGGCTCCCTGCTCGGCAGGGAGTCTGCTTCTCCCTCTGACCCTCTTCCCTCTCGTGCTCTCACTCTACCATTCTCGCTCTCAATAAATAAATAAAAATCTTTAAAAAAAAAATTATAACTGATTTTATCTTAGAGGAATTAATGCCTTTTTTTAAAGATTTTATTTATTTATTTGACAGAGAGAGAGAGAGAAAGCACAAGCAAGGGGAGTGGCAGGCAGAGGGAGAAGCAGACTCCCCATTGAGCAGGGAGCCCGATGTGGGGGCTTGATCCCAGGACCCTAGGATGATGACCTGAGCTGAGCCACCCAGGCATCCCCGGAACTAATGCTCTTCAGAGTAACCACATTGTATCAATATTCCTTAAGTCATAATACAAAATAAAACTGCTCGCCACAATTCCAAAGAGCCTGCCTGCCTCTGTTGGTTCCTTCCCTGGAAAAAGAAGCGGCAGGGGAACAGATGAACTGGTTAGAGGGGTGAGCAGTAATGGAGACCTGAGCCAGGGCTGCTCAGGGGTGCCCTGCAGAACATGGTCTGGCCAAGGCCCATGGGGGCTCAAGTGCAGGCCTTGCTCAGCTTCCAGGTCCTGAGCCTTCCTAGGGAACCTTTTATTATTTCCATTTATTTTACTTTACACAAGGGCACTTCGGCCCCCCGACTGGACGGTAGGGTGTGTTCAAGGGGGTACACACCAAAGCCCCATCAAGGCTACTACCAGACTGTTTGAGTAGAAGATATGTACTTGCCAGAAGAAGCCAATGCAGCCCACGTCTGCAGATAAAAAAAGAAAGACTTTCTTTCTACAAGCATTTGAAATTGCCACTAAAATTCATACAAAAGTCACCCACTCAGGCTTTGTGAGATCAGTGACCCCGGGAGCCAGGGCTGCAGGAATGTGCTGGACGCATCCCCCTGCTATAATGAGGGCATCTCGCTCTTTACATCAGCTCTCCTCCTGATGGGGCGTGTGACGGACCCACAGCACCCCAATCCCCTTCTATCACGAGCATGTCACAGTAAGATTCCTCTGAGCTGCTGGTTATTAGAAGGTGATAAAGGGAGAAGAAGAATGTCTCAAATCCTCCATTCTAGACTCCGTCGTCAGCACTGTGGCCTCAGGTCCCTGACACCGAGCTCTACAGAATAGTAACTGAAGAGAAAATAATTCATTTTCCCTGTTCACCTAATTATAAAGATTTAAATCTCTACAACTCATAGCCAGCCTCTCCTTCTACTTGATGTCAAAGCAAACATGAAGGAAAAAGGGGGAAAAGACCTGTGAAACAACAGGATCACTCCCACCCGCGGTAAGAGAAGACACACTTACCGAATAAAACTCAAGTGAACGCCGAGTGACCGGTGTGACCCTGAGCAGTCGATGCAAAGAAACACCCCATAGGTTACACTTGCCCAGCTGGGATTCTTGGCACCACAATCGAAACACACCTGAAAGAAAATGTCAAAATTCAGTTATTAATTAATTCATATTAGCCGAAAGGGGCATTTCACAGGATACACTATAGAGTTTAGCTTGAAAGTGACTTCACCTTTACACTTTTAAACTGGTTATTACAAAATCGCTCACCTAGGGGCGCCTGGGTGGCTCAGGTGGTTAAGCGTCTGCCTTCGGCTCAGGTCATGATCTCAGGGTCCTGGGACTGAGCCCCACATCAGGCTCCCTGCTCAGTGGGGAGTCTGCTTCTCCCTCTCCGTCTGCCCCTCCCCCCTGCCCATGCTCTCTTTCTCTCTCTCAAATAGAATCTTAAAAAAAAAAAACTCAGCTAGATTTTTTTTAAACCTTAACTTTCTTTTATTATTATATTATGCATAATTGTATCATATTCATTAAGCATCAACAGGGCTCTTACCAGGCCCGCGCACACCAGCCAGGATGTCCCCCTGCTGGGAACACTCAAGGCCTTGCGGCCCTCTGACCAGTGGCAGCCCTCACACATACTCCTCCTGCCCCCAGCCAGACGCGACAGCTGGTGCGGGAGCCACCCTCGCTTGTGCGGGGTGGTCTGTGACCAATAATGAGACAGAAGTGCCAGTAGGTCATTTCCGAGATTAGGTTACAAAAGACGCTGTGGCATCCTTTCTGTCTCTTGCTCTCTCTCTCCCTTGGATCACCGGCTCTGGGGGAAGCTAGCCGCCATGTCTGGAGGACTCACAAGCAGCCCAGTAGAGAGCCTCAAGTGGTGAGGAATTGAGGCCAGGGGTCCAACAGCCGAGTGAAGGGGAGTGGAGGCCGGCTGAGCTCCACATAAGCGAGCTTGGGAGCGGGAGCCCCAGGCTTCAGAGAGGGCAGCCCCAGCTGACAGCGTTGACAGCAACCTCGTGAGACCCAGGGCCTTCCTCCCTCAACACTGACTGAAGCCAAACGTTCTTCATCTGATAGCATCTGGCAACAGGAGCATAAAATGACTTTAAGATATACAGAGTTTGTCATGGAAATCACCATTTATAATTAATAAAGTCAGAAAATTCCACTAATAAGAGAACATTTCATTTTTTTCCAGAAAAAGAGCCCCTTATTTTAGATACACTTTATAGACAGAGCCACCTATGTGAAGGCTGTTCCAACTCTAGTCATCGAGAAAGATCTGGCTTCTGGCCTTTTGAGGGCAACACCAAAGTGAAAACATGAGCAGATTGTCCAAAGCCCCTCACTGTGACAGGCTCACATTAAGCATGCATGAACAGTGGGGTTGGAGAGACAACTGACATGGAAGGTGCCAGTCCATTCACTTCCATCCAATTCAATTCAGTGTTTTTTGATTGCCTGCTGTATACCAGACACTATGGCAGGCACTGAGCTATTCAGAACTATCTGGCCTCACAGATTCCACAAACACTTGCTGAGTCCCTACCCCCTGCCAGGCCATGTGCTGGCTTTTCTGGAGCTCACTGAGCAGTGGGAGAGAAGGACAGAGAAATGAAGATGCCCTATGCACGTAAAGCAAGGAATCCCCTTCCAAGGGACACCAGACAGTGTGACCAACCCTGCCCATGTGCTGTCCCTCGGCAAGAAGCCATCTGTAACCCCCCACTCTGTCAACTAATAGTTGTGCACTTACTACCAAGTAAGTATCTGGCATGCACAAAAGTGGCTCGGGAAGGGTCAGCCCGCGTAGAGCCCATGTATGGAGCCCACAGTCTAGCAGGCAAGACAATTCGTTGTAAGTTGACAGGATACAAAAGGTTTTCCCAAAAAAAGGGTCCAAGAGGCAACTGAAATCTCAGGAACTGCATCTTAAAGATTTTATTTATTTATTCATGAGAGACAGAGAGAGAGAGAGAGAGGCAGAGGGAGAAGCAGGCTCCCCGCGGAGCAGGGAGCCCGATGCGGGGCTCGATCCCGGGACCCCGGGATCATGACCTGAGCTGAAGGCGGACGCTTAACCAACTGAGCCACCCAGGTGCCCAGGAACTGCATCTTCAATGGCAATTAGTGGCAAAAGGCCGTGTAGGAAACGGCCCTGTGGAGAGGGGTGACAACAGAGATGGTGCACAGCCCAGAACAGGCAAGACTTGAGCATCCCTCCTGAGGTGGTCTGGTGGCAAGGGTGAGAAGAGAGCAGAGAGCCTTCTAAACCTGCTGGCCTCAGCACCCTCCTGATCCACAGCTAAGGTGAGGGATTGCCAGAATGCAGCTCCACAAGGCCAGGGGCCCTCTCCTGTGCGCCTGAGCTGAGCGCTGAGCGCTGAGCACTGAGCCCGGCCCAAGCAAAGCACCCACTACACCCAAGTACAGGTACTGGGGCAGTCCGCAGGGGTGGCGGAAATCGGCAACTGTGGGGCCTGAGCTCAGGAGGCAATAGGAAATACAAGTCTGGCTCTCACGAATGCTGGAGTAGGACACTGTGCTTTAAGAGTGGGGACTGCACTTTGTTTTGATATACAACCCCAAACTGAAGCTGAGATATGGTGTTCTAAGCAGAATATCACTTCCTATGGTGATGAAAAATAAATGCCTTTGGGCACCTGGGTGGCTCAGTCAGTTGAGCGCCTGACTGTTGATTTTGGCTCCAGGTCATGGTCTCAGGGTCCTGGGATCAAGCCCCACCGGCGGGTTCCACGCTGCTTAAGATTCTCTCTCTCCCTCTGCCCCTCCCCCCGCCAAAAAAAAAAAAAAAAAAGGAAAGAAAAGAAAAGGAAATGCCTCTGCTTAACAATTTGCTTTGCCTAATGATGAGAGTAAGTACTAGAGAAACAACAGCTCATGTTGAGTGTTTATTCCCTGTCAGGCATTGCTACTGACCAACTGGACCATCAGAACACCCCTATAAGGAGGTATTCTTATTGCCCCCATCTAGGCCAGCTGCTGGGCATGTGTGCCAACTGTGCGGCTGCCCGGGGCCCCACACTTGGAAAAGCCCCTGGTTGCTTAATGCTCTGCTGTCTCATCTTGACATTCTCGACACTTTTTAAACAAGGGCCCCCGCATTTTCATCTCACACATTTTGTATTCTCTGCAAATTATGTAGTGCAGTTCTCATCCCCATTTTATATTTAAACAATTTTTTAAAGATCTTATTTATTTGTCAGAGAGCGAGCGAGCGAGCACGAGCAGGGGGAGCGGCAGTCTAAGGGAAAAGCAGGCTCCCCACAGAGCAAGGAGCCCGATGCGGGACCCGATCCCAGCACCCTGGGATCACGACCTGAGCAGAAGGCAGACGCTCAACTGACTGAGCCACCCAGGCGTCCCTCTCATCTCTATTTTAGAGAAAACTAAGGCCTTACGAAGTTAAGCATCACCGGTGAGGAGTGGTATCTTGGGGACTGGACCCCAGGCAGTATGCCCCAGAGCTCACTCTTCACCTCTCGCCACACTGCCTCTCACATGGCTTGGCTGGCCGAGTTGGCCGTCATCCGTCTTCCGCCCACTAGACTCGCAGCTCCCTGAGGTCTCCCTCTCCATCGGAGTGCCCCACTGCTCTGAGTGCCCAGCTGACTACAGCTGCTCAACGGATACTTGTTGACAGAGTAACTCAAGCAATCAAGCGATAAAACTAAGGAACATATAGAGAGAAGGGAGGATTTCTGAAACTAGAACACTGACGCTTCTGGGTTAAAACCTTGATCCAAGTAAATATTCATCACCTTTGAGATGAAGAAACCAGATAACATAGTCTAAAAGTAAACCCAGTTGTTCCTCTTGAAGTACCTTCCCTGTGTATCTTACAGCTCTTTTTATAGCCCCTTCTGAAAAATGCTTCCTGTTCCCCAAGAGTTTCCCAAACTCTTCCATATTATTAAAACTAGATTCATCTCTACTTAGGTAATGGTTTCTTACTAACAATCAAATGAAAATTCTTAATCAAGAAATGTAGCACGAGACTGTGGAACATTACTGGAAAAGTATTTTTGCCACATGCTTTTACAGAGTATAAAATTTTCCACAGGGGCGTTGTTCGTAGTAAAGATCGTAACAAAAAATGGCTGACGTCATTGACGGCTAGCACGTGCAGGAACTGCTCTGAAGTGCTTCTCTTGGATTTTTCATTTAATCCTCCCAATAACACTCTGAGTTAGAGCCTGCTCAAGCCTCCATTTGCAGAGGAGGAAAGAACGTACAAAGTGGTCAAGTGAACTGCCCAAGGTAACAGAGTCACCAGCAAGCCCACACAAGTCCCTCAGAAGTGTCATAAAGACAATGACTTCTTATTTAAAAGAGGGCACCTTTCCTTTGATGAATTCAAAGAGAATACACACTGGTTTTGAGATAAAGCAGACAAAAAAGTACAACTTCTACACTGCTAACTGCAGATCCTAATCTTGTCTAGCTATGCAGCAACCACTCCCTACAAGCAGGTTAATCTTAACTTGAAAATCAAGAAAACAGCAAAGAAATTAGCATTAGAGAATTTCTGAAGCCTTTCTCCTCCTGACTTTCCTCCACTCATCAGACATCACCTCCAATAAACTCTTTCCTTTCTCACTCCTCTTATAGTCTGTAAAAATATGGGCTCCCTTCCACCAAGACTTAAAGGCATCTAATTTTATAAAACTCAGGATCTTTCTATGCCATGACATCATGACTCATGACCATGACCATTAACAGCTGTTCACTTTGGAGGTGACGGCGGGGACCAGACAAACTCCTGTCACAAGAAGGGAAGGGAGAGTCCACGCTGACACACTGACAGCCCTTTGCACTCTCCAGGTTCCAGCCTGACCTGTGATCCTCAGTGGGGTGTCACTTTAGCCCGATGTGTCATCACAACATCTCCAGCCAGTTGCGAAAGTTGTAAAAGTCACAGAGGAGAACCACCTCTGGAGACCAAAAAAAAGGAAAACCCCAACCTCCAGAAGAGACCCAAAGGGAAAACGGAGAAAGGGTCTGTGGTGGGCCTTCTTAGCAAGAGAAAAGAGCTGGAAGCCACTGCAGAGACCACTTAGTCGCTTTATCAGACAGGGAAACTGAGGCTACCATCAAAGGGCACAGGGGACCAACCAGGCTCCCACAGGCACCCCACGGGAACTTCGGAGGTCAGCTCCAGGGTGTCGAGGGGGCCAGTCGAGCTTTCCCAAGCGCCCAGCGCTGCCAGCCGGAGTCTCTGGGCCGGTGCGTGCTTCCCAGCTGGGTCACAGGTGGCCTGCGGTGTCGGCCCCGCTCACAGGAGCCCCTGTGGGTGCACCCCAGTCCTCTCTCGGGGGGGGGTCCCCGAGCTCGCCTCCAGCTGTCTGAGGAACTCACGGGGTCCACGCCGCCACCCCCAAAAGCAGCCCCCGTGTGTGCTCCCCCGCCCGGTGTCAGGAACCACAAGTGTGTGCCCCCGGCCCCCGGGACCCCCCGAGGCTGCCGCCTCCCGCCCCCGGGACCCCCAGGTGCCCGCCCCGCCCAGGACCCCGGTGTGCGCCCCCTCCCCTCCTCCTTGCTGAGGCTGGGGGCGGCGCGCGGCCCAGACCCAGACGAGGCCCAGGCGCCGCGGCCGCAAGTGCGACGTGTCACAGGCTGGGCCGGCTCCTCCTCCCGCGGCCGCGGCCACTGCCGCAGCGGGGGCCGCCCGCGGGGTTCGGCACGGATGCCCAGCAAGGCTGAACACGCCCGAAGGCCGTTACCTTGTTGGTGGGCACCGAGCGGAGACGCTTGAAGATGGTCAGGATGTCCTGCTTGCTGGGGTCCCCCATGGCCACCAGAGAAACGAGGCGCAGCCGGCCCGGCCAACCGGGAAAGTCGGAACAGGAGCGGTTGCCGCCTCCCGGAGAGAGACGGCGGCCGAGGGGGCGGGGCTGCGCGCGGCGGCCAGGCCCCGCCCCTCCCGGACCCGCCCCGGACCCGCCCACAACCGGAACTCACGCGCCCCTCTCTTCTCGCGGCCCTCGCTCAGCTGCACGGCTGGCTCCGCCCGCTCGAGCCCCGCCCTGGCGCTGCCCGCGCGTGCGCAGAAGCCTCGCGTTCCTTCTTCCCGTAGTGTCCGGAGATTCGATCGGGGCTGTGGAGGGCTGAAGCTGAGGTTGGGTAGGCTTGGCTCCTGCGCGCTCGGCCGTGGGACCCGCCACCACTTGGACTGGTCGATCGCCACTTGGACCGACGGACTGCTTGCTTGGCCGAGGTCTTCTCACCCCGTCCTCGTGAGGGCACAGAACCAGTGCCTCCAGGTGGCAGAGTAGGAAACGTGAGGGGAAGGGACCTACCCGCCACCCCCCGGGCACCCGCTTTTCGCAAGTGCCCACCCCATCTTTTTTTTTTTTTTTTTTTTTTTGCATTAAGCTAAAGCCGAGCCCTGGGTGGGAAGCTCTCATCGCTCGAAAATTGGTTTTCTTTTTAAAGTACCTGTTTGGGGATCAGGTCAGAGAGAGCAGTTGTCGTGAGGCTCAGTCCGAACTGGTGAATACAGACCAGAAAAGCCGCGGGACTTTTCCTAGCGGGGCCCCGGGCTGCGGCCCGCCCTGTGGCTGACATTACAGAAGGGTTCGAACTCGTGGAGAAAGGTGCCTCTTTTACTGTCGAGGGTGTGGAGCCGCTGGAAAATTGTCCCCTGAGGTTCGGTGGCGCAATGCAAGGAAAACAGGTTTACCCTGGTTGCAAGCCTGATTCAGCCCGCTCCTTCCTAGCTCGGTGACCTTGGTCGAGTCCTTTCTCCAAAACCGGGCTTGCTCATCTGTACAATGGGGCTAGAGATAAAGAATCCGTGCTGAGCAACGGGGGGGAGAGCAGCTTCCCCGGGGGAGCTCCGGAAAAGCCTTTGGCAGTGCTTTTCTGCTTTTAGAAGCTAGGAATGCTCTTTTGGGGCGCCTCGGTGGCTCAGTCGTCAAGCGTCCACCTTCGCCTCAGGTCATGATCTCGGGGTCCTGGGATCGAGCCTCGCATCGGGCTCCCTGCTCCACGGGAAGCCTGCTTCTCCCTCTCCCACTCCCCCTGCTGTGTTCCCTCTCTTGCTGTGACTCTGTCAAATAAATCAATAAAATCTATCTATATATATATAAAAAAGAAGCTAGGAATGCTCTTTCAACCTGTTTGATTAGATGCCCTCAGGGGAAGTTGGAAGTTTGCAAGGAGGTGGACTCAGATAAACCCAGGGTTGGAACTTTTCCAAGGAAGGGAAATGTATTGCCTAACGGAACAGTAAGTTACTTTTGCAGATAGCTGTGACTGAAAGTTCTTCCTTCTATCAAGTCAAAGTATATACTCTTGTATTCTGTGTCCTGTCATAGTGATGCAGGCTGGCCTGTCCGAGGACCCGGAGGGAGTCCCGCGGGACCAGCCAAGAGGGTCCATGGTTTTGTGCAGGACAGAGATCAAATGTGAACTGAGAGGAAGTAAGACCAAAGTTTATTAAATAGTGTAAGTGATAAAGCATATCAGACAGAGTGTCTGGGAGACTCAGAAAGGAAAGAAGAGACCCCCCCCCCCTTTGCTTGGGGTTGGGGTTTTTATTGAGGATCATGGTCTGGTGTACCTGTCTTAGGCATCCCAGCACCCGTCAATCAAAATGAGGACAAAGGCTCAGGTGTCCTGTTAAGTCACTTATGCCCTGGAGACAGGGATCTTGGCATCAAGGTATCTGGAGTCGGGTCTTGGAAAGCCTACATGATGACCCCTCCCAGTCACTCCTTGGATGATGTTATCTATCGTGCTGGAAGACTCCAAAGAAATCATTAACTCCTTGACCATTACAAAGAGGACATATATTAAGGCATGTATAAGGCGGAGGTGCACGTCCCAGCAAGAGCAGAAGCAGGAAAAGGAACAAAGAAGCAGTTTTTCTCTTGGGGTCCCTTCAGTTTCCCTGCCTTGATACTGGTTTGGCCCTACACAGAACACCGGGCATTTTTATGAGGAACAGCCATGTCATTTCTGATGGGAATGATGATTACTATTTGGAGCTGAAATCTAACTGCCTTCGGCTCAGGTCATGATCTCGGGGTCCTGGGATCGAGCCCCGCATCAGGCTCCCTGCTCCACGTGATGAGCAGAGGGCAAGCTGAGGACAAAACACAAGCTGACACCCCACAACCCCTTCCAACCCCCACCCCCCACCGTGAGATAACGTGTGGCATTCCTCAGGCACTCCTAGCTGCCCCAAAACTAAGGGAAGGGAAAAAAACAAATGGTTAACTGATAAAGCTCACAGTCCTGCAGGACTGGAGTTTCCATCTGTTTACCAATGTCTTAGTGATATACAGGGAAAAGGCATTCTTACCAATAGCCTAACTTACAGAGACCCATAACTCAATTTCCTGGAGCCCTAACCTCACTGTCCGTGAGTGATGCGGGAAACAAAGGCAGAAGGAAATATAAACAAAGTTAAGTTTCTTTAAGACCTGCAGCCTATTGACAAGGACTTGTAATAGGAAGAGTGTAACATTTCTCCAGGAAGCTCCCAACTGTCTTCATGTTAATGCCTTACTGGAAGGAAAAGCAACCTTAACTCAGCAATCGCCAGGCCTCCATTATCATGTAAATCTTCTTTAGTATATCAAAGTCCTTTTGGATACCTCCCTTTTCCTTATGTCCCCCCAACTCCCAAGTATATAATCAGCCACCCCTCACAACCCTGGTGCAGCAGCTCTTTCTGCCCATGGGTCCTGCCCCCGTGCTTTAATAAAATCATCTTTTCCCCCCAAGATGTCTCAAGAACTCTTCCTTGGCCGTCGGCTCCGGTCCTCACCAACATTCCAAACATCACAAGGAGAAGGAAAAAAAGTGCCATGAAGTACAGAGTCTATGGGAGTAAAAATGCTGTTTGTGTATGCACGTGACTGGCTCATCTCTCATCTGCTTAAGTGTTCTTTGTAAAACTTATTACCGGCTAATACAGTATGTAATACTATATATTTCCTCCCTTCAGCTGAATATAAATGTATTGAGATCAGGTCTGTCTTGTCTACCTCTGTCCCCAGCACCTAGAACGTGCCTGGCACATAGTGTGCATTCAAAAAAGATGTTTGGAATAGGCTCAGAATGTAGAAAGCTACAAAAGAGTGTCACTCCCCACATGATGAGAACAGACTGGATTATCCACAAAATCAAAGCTTTTCTTAAGCCTGTCAGATGGTTAAGGTTGCAAATCATCCAAGTAAACTGAATTCCGAAGAGAAACTGATGAAGTTTTAGAATATAAGTGAGGTCCGGAGCCGACGACCAAGAAAGAATTCTTAAGACGTCTCTGGTGCAAAAAGTGGTTTTATTAAAGCGCGGGGGCAGGACCCATGGGCAGAAAGGGCTGCTGCCCTGTGGTTTTGAGGAGTGGCTGATTATATACTCAGGAGTTGGGGAGGTGAGGACAAAGGGGGTGTCCAGAAGGACTGTCATATGCTAAAGACTCTCAGGATACTGGAGGCCTGGTTATTGTCAAGCCAAGGCTATTTCCCTCTCTAATGGGGCACTAAACATGAAGACAGTTGGGAGTTTCCTGGAGGAATGTTACGTTCCTCCTATCACATGTCCTTGTCAATGGGCTTCAGGTTCAAAAGAAATCCAATTTTATATTTACATTTCCTTCCGCCTCAGCCTCCCTTAATTTTATGGAGGGGAGGGTGATGGTTAGGGCTTCAGGAAACTGAGTTATGGGTCTCCTGGAAGTTAGGCTATTGATGAGAAAGCTTCTTCCTCGTAAATCACTAGGACATTTGTAAACTGAGGGAGACTCCTGTCCTGCAAGACTGTGATCTCTTATCAGTTAACCGTTTGTTTTTCTTTTAGGGCAGCCAGGAGTGCCTGAGGAATGTCACATACAGGGGGGGGGGGGGTTTGCGGGGTGTCAGCTTCTGCTTTGTCCTCAGCTAGCCTTCTGCTCCCTCATCAAAACGAGCCTCCCCAAAGGTAGACGGAACACAAGAGCTCCTTCACCTTTGGTAAAGCATAGGAGAAAGGTGACGCCATCCAAGTGGGCAAGAGGAAATCAGTCAAAATTTTAATGAATTCGTAAAGGCCAAGTGTGGGCTGGCACGTCAGTTTGAAATAGCTTGAGGCCTCAGATACAGAGTTTACATTCATTTACAAGCTCTTTTCCATAAACCCCCATCAGAAATTTTTCTTCATAAGAAAGCTGGAGGCAGGGTGCCTGGGTGGTTCAGTTGGTTGAGCAACTGCCTTCGGCTCGGGTCATGATCCCGGAGTCCTGGGATCGAGTCCCACGTCGGGCTCCCGGCTCGCCGGGGAGCCTGCTTCTCCCTCTGACCCTCTCCCCTCTCGTGCTGTTTCTCTCTCTCTAATAAATAAATAAAATCTTAAAAAAAAAAAAAAAGAAAGAAAGAAAGAAAGAAAGCTGGAGGCAGAGACTTGAGAGAAACCCCTTGGGGAGTCAGGTATCCAACTGTTGGGGAGGGGCACAGGCCCCACCCACATCCCTTCTGGAAAACAAAAGCATATTAACTCTCCCTCAGGGCTCGGGAAAAGATGCATTCCTGCCAAGGGAGGAGTAGAAAGAAGCAAAACCCAACGATACCAAATCCAAAAGAGAATAAGAGATCCTCTCACCCTCAAAAGAAGACAAGCAAAAATTCATTGCTACAGATTTAAGAATAACAGAATACAGAAGGAACCAGCCTTGAGGCAGGTCCACATTGCTGTGTACTGTCTTCGGTATTTATCTTTTATGAAGACATCCTGGTGCTCCTTGGCCAAGTGAAACAGCGTTTAGTTTATTTAGTTTATTCAGTAAAATAGGAACTTGCCAAAAGCCAGATGCCACGCTAAGGAAAAACTAGACTTGCCTGGACAGTAATATGATGAATCACCAAGTGCGAATAGGCACAGATCTTGTCCCTTGTCCCTGG